CATTCTAATTCTGTTAACACTTGTCTGCTCAGTTGCCCTACGCTCTACTCTCAGTTTGTTCACACCATATAGGTTCATCCAAGCGGGCACTTTTTTGCGCATTCCTGTGCGGCACATTTTAGCAGCCCACTAATGCCAACACGCTGGAAAGTGCAAAAGGTATGGCAGGCACCACTTTAAAATTGTGTTGCACATAAACTACAAGGTACTGTGATACTTTGTGCTTTAATGGCTGAATGCAGCCACATTTATCAGTATGTTGGGTGCCATTAAGATGGCAGCTTGTTTCCGCAATTGATGCAAATAATCACTGTGTAGTGTGTGTGGGAGATTGTTGTCCCTGCCCCCCTCCCCATATACCTCCTGAGTCTTTCAAATATGTAATACCTACTGTAAATTTGCATGTTTTTGCATCTCAAAAAGGGACTCTGACCAGCATGATCAGGGGATAGTGACCCACACTGTAGAGCAGGGTTTCTCAACCAGGGTTCCCTGGAACCCTGGGGTTCCTCCCCAGAGGTTAAGGGTTCCTTGAGCAGTGAGCAATATCTGCCACTCTGATAGGTTCCCGCTAACACCATTGATATTTTTAGCTGTCTAAAAGGGGGTAATTCTTCTCAATGACCACAAGTGTAATGGACATTCTTCCCACTGATTATCACTCGAATGTTTCATTTGCTGTAGGTACAGTCATTTTTAGCAGGGGTTCCCAGAGACCAAAAAGTCATGTCAAAGGTTCCTCTATATTTGAAAAGGTTGTAAGAGGCTGCTATAGAGGCACACATTACAAATTATGCCTTGAACTATTAAGGCAATTTTTTCTTTTTCACTGTTGAAAAGAAAACCTCCGACCAGAAGAATGAGTATGTGAGCAGTCTTTTGTGTGCCCTTTATGTACAGTATGTGATTACACATTACTTGTCAGGTATGGTCTTGTAAGCTTACAGTCCCTGTTTGTTACCTGCATGGGAAGTCCTGCTATAAGGACTGGTCCCCTGTTACCTGTGAGGAGTTGGCACCTTGGGGGAGTGGGAACCCAATTTGGCAGGTACCCGCACGAACCGCCTAGGCGATCGGAAGTGGACATGGACCTGCTAAAGCTTTAACTTCTATCATCACGGCCCCATTAACATCAGTGGGTTGCTTTCAGTAGCAGTAATCTCCACGGAATGCAACAAGGTATAATTTGTCGTCAGGCATGGTGGCCGTGGCATGTGTACATCTGAGCAGTTGCATGTTCTTGTTTTGGTGGCTGGTTGGAGAACTGTAAAACTGCAGCTCAATGGCATTCTTTCCTGAAATGGCTAGGAGTGTTTTAGCTTCTTTAAACATTCATCCTAGGCTGATATCCTGCTATTTTGGCACCTAGAACCAATTGTGTTTCCACATATAGGCACTTGTTACTACTTCTGAAATGCTGTTTGACTACAGGTGCAGTTAAATATATCCTTTCACCTGTAATAATGTTGGGATTGGAAGACTCAGACCTAGCCCCTACCCTTTTCTCTTCCTTTTTGGAGGAGGAACAAATTAAACAGGGAAAGAACATAACTGATCGCCCATTGTAGGCACTTTTGGCTGTGGACATGGGTCAGCATAGGCACCCTGTCTGATCTGCGGCTAGAGTCCCATGCACTACAAACTGCGATGTGCTGTGTTTTAACACCTTTCTGTCAAATCCTGCGTTAACTTACGAAATTTGAGCCAGTCTTCACTCCCTGCATGCATCAGTGAGCTTTGGCTGCCCATGACCTGTTGCCAGTTTTCCTTCCTGGACCCACTTTTGGTCAGTTCTGACCAACGCAGACTGGGAACATCCCACTAGAGCTGCAGTTTGGGAGTTGCTCTGGCCAACCATCTAGTCATTACAATTTTGACTATGGTGAAAGTAGCGCAGCTCCTTTTTTTAAATTTGTCGTGAGTTTGGCTTTTTTTTTTTTTTTTTTTTTTTTTTTTTTTTTTTTTTTTTTTTCTTTCAGCAAATTTAACTTCAACCTGTTTGCTGCCTAATATATCCCACCCACTTTCAGATGCCATTGTAACAAAATAATCAGTGTTCACTTTATCTGTCAGTGGTCATAATGTTATGGCTGATCAGTGTGCAATAGATATACATAGTCATGGCTAAAAAAGTATTGGCACCCGTCTGTCAGATAATTCAGGGATGTTGTATTTGTATAGCACCCAATGACTGGTTCCCCTGAAATTTTACGTTCCCTAGACCTATGCAATAATATTTTGCAACATAAATTGGAACTACTATTTTATTCGCAAAAATGGCTTTGCCAACAAAGATAAGCCCGACACTCCCCTTCCCTGACTAGTACCCAATCAGTGCTCATTACACTGCGCAGTCTCTCCCCTTCCTGCTAGTTCCCAGGTGCGGTGCTGGAGACAGGCAGGGAGGGGAGGACACAGCAATGTTGGGGAAAAAAAAAAAAATTTAAATAAAGGGGCTCTATGGTGACTTAACTAGTTGCTGACCGCAGATAGCCGAATGACGGCTTCACTGCGGCCGGCCAGTTCTGGGTGGACGTCATATGATGTCCCCCCAGAACGCGCTGGGGCGAGCACCCGGCGATCTCCGTGATCGCTGTGTCCTACGGACACAGCTGATCACGAGATGTGGTAAAAGGCCGATCATACCGGCCTTTTACCACGTGATCAGCGGTGTCCAATGACACGCTGATCACAGGGAAATGCAAGTGCCGGTTCTCGGCTGCACTTTCCTCACGCTGTCAGATCGTGAGGAAAGTACTGCCGAGAACCGGCAGTTGTCGAGCGAGGATCGGCACCGATCATCAGGGCCACTGATCAGTGCCCTGATGATCGGTGCCCAGCAGTGCCACCCACAAGCTCCACCCACCTGTGCCAAGCAGTGCACCCACCTGTGCCAAGCAGTGCACCCACCTGTGCCAAGCAGTGCACCCACCTGTGCCCGCCCACCAGTGCCACCAGTCAGTACCCATCAGTGTCACCTATCAGTGCCCTTTAGTGCTGCCTATCAGTGCCCATCAGCGCCGCCTATCAGTGCCCATCAGTGCTGCCTCATCAACGCACATCAGTGAAGGAGAAAAAATACCTGTTTGAAAAATTTTATAATAGAAACAAAGAAACTTTTTTTTTTTTTCCTCAAATTTTTTTGCAATTTTTTAATTTATAGCGCAAAAAGTAAAGCGCCCAGTGGCGATTAAATACCACCAAAAGAAAGCTTTTTGTGAGAAAAAAATGATCAAAATTTCATATGGGTACAATGTTGCATGACCGCGCAATTGTCAATCAAAGTGCGGCAGCGCTGAAAGCTGAAAATTGGCCTGGTAAGGAAGGGGGTATAAGTGCCTGGTAGGCAAGTGGTTAAACATTTAAAGTCCCAGACATTCCTAATATCGCCTCTGATTTTAAATACGGTTTTGGTTAAAATTGATTTTTCTTTAAATCAGGACAAGTAGATTGTCATGAGAGACGTAAATTGGGACACAGATTTAAGTCCCTGGACAAGTAGTGTGTGGGTTTTGTTTTTTGTTTTTTTTTTTTTCCCACACCCCTTGATAATGCACCACTTTGCACAGAAAAGTTGTTGCAATTTTAAAAATTCTTAGTCATTATCAGGTTTCTTTCTTTTGTTTGTATTAGTATGCAGCAAGAAGCCAAATCTGCCACATTCCACGCAAAACTTGGACTGCATAAAATTATTGGCACCTTCTCAAAATTGTAGGAAAGAATTGCATTCTAAGTTTGATGCTCTTGTAAATAAACTATCAATTAACAGGTGCTGACAATATAGAAATTACACCAGTAACCAGTTAAAATGGTGAAAAGTGACAACCTTTCTGTTCATGTGCCACATGGAGAAGAGAGCAGCAAAGAATTTGTCAGAAAATGCAATGAGGCCTTTAAAGAAAAGTCTCTACAGTCAAACATGCTGGAGGTGAATGGTTTTGGGATTGCTTTGCTGCTTCAGGCGCTGGATGATTGACCATGTACATAGCATTATTAAATCTGAGGACTACCAAATAATTCTGGGGTGCAATGTAGGGCCCAGTGTCAAAATTGGCTCTCCGTCAGAGGTCATGGGTTTTACTGCTGTACAATGACCCAAAGCGCATATCAAAAAGCACCCAGAAATGATTTAAGACAAAGCGCTGGAGAATACTGAACTGCCCAGTATCTCAATCCCATAGAGTACCTGGTGAGAGATCTCAAAACAGCAGTTGGGAAAAGGAGCCCTTCCAATCTGAGAGACCTGGAGCAGTTGACAAAAGAAGAGTGGTCCAAAATTCCAGTAGAGAGGTTTAAAAAACTCATTGATGGTTACAGGAAGAGATTGATTTCAGTTTTTTTTCCAAGGGGTGTTCTACCAAATATTAAATTGAGTGCCAATTTTGCCTAGTCCATGTTTGGAGTTTTGCATGGAAAGTGCCAGATTTGGATTTTTTTTTTTTCCTCTACTTATTTGTGTCATACCAATACAAACAAGGGAGAAACCTGAGTGCCTAAACATCTGAATTTTTTTTGAGTGAATTTTTTTTTTTTTTTTTTTTTCTGACAGTGCCTTCTAGCCCAGGTGTGAATGCTTGCATCACACATCCCGGGAGACTTTATGGCAGTCTGCTTCAGATGCCCTGTAATTTATCAGGGGCCTACTGCAAGAACCTAGACAACACCTAGCTTCCTACATAAGCAGAGAACCCAGTATGCAGCTGTTCCCTGGGTTTTTGCAGCCAACCCATAGAGGCAGCCAGCTCCTGTTGGCTGTAGAAAAGATTGTGGCACAGGACATGAAGGCGGATTAGGTGCTCTAAGCAGAACAGAAGCTAAACAGGTTTTTAGACTATATAGCTTCTGAAGATGACCTTCTAATTTTGTCTGATTCAACAGCTGTTTTGTATGTGTTCAGGTGTGAATTTACCTGTGACGTGTAATGTATAGTTTCTGTATTGTGGTCCATGTTTGGTTTTCAACTAAGGTGTTTTTTTGTTTTTTTTTTTTTTTTCTTCTAGTAAGAGGATCGAAGCCTGGAAAAAATGTTCAACTTCAAGAGAATGAAATTAGAGGATTATGTCTGAAGTCTCGAGAAATCTTTCTTAGCCAGCCAATTTTATTGGAACTTGAAGCACCTCTTAAAATTTGTGGTAAGAATGTCTTTTAGTGTGTTTTAAAAAGCTAATTTACACAATGATTGTTACGCTTTAGTTAAGAGGAAAAGTCTTAAGAATTTTTACCACAAAGTCAGATTACTTAACCACATGCCACCCAGCCACTGTAGAAATACATTGGCAGGGCGGCACGGCTGGGCAAAACCACGTTTTAAAACATGTTTGCAAAACTGGGCACGCGAGGCGCGCCACCGCCCTACCTGTCCTGCCAATCACGGCTGCGGATGTCAGTCGCCGGGTCACAGCCAGTCGTTACCGGCTGTGTCCCGCCGATTAGCGGCAATCACTGACAGAGCAGGGCTGCAGTAGCTCTGCTTTCTGTCACTCCCCTGTCAGCTCCTGACATGCTGAGCCGGATCTCTCCCGATCAGCAGTATACACCCCTACCCCTAGTAAAACACTCCCCTCACAGTTAACCCTTTCAGTAAATAAAAGTTAACCCCTTCCTCCCCAGTGCCATTAGTACAGTGTCAATGTGTGTGTTTTTTTTTGTTTTTTTGCACTGATCACTGTATTGGTGTCACTGGGGATGTCGGGGACCCCCCTCCCCCCCAGTGTCCAGAATGTCGCCATTAGTATAAAAAAAATTAAAAATCCCAGTATCTTTACCGCCATTTGTAAACGCTATAACTTTCACGTAAACAAATTAATTTACACGTATTGGGTTTTTTTTTAGTAAAGACATGCAGCAGAATACATTTTGGCTGCAATTTATGACAATTTGATTTTTAAATTTTTTTTTTTTTTTTTTTTTTTTTTTTTTTTTTTTTTTTTTTTTTTTTTTACTGGACATGTTTTATAGCAAAAAGTCCAAAATATTATTATTTTTTTTTTTCCTCAAAATTGTCAGCCTTTTTTATAGCGCCAAAAATAAATGCAGACTATCAAATACCACCGAAAGAAAGCTCTATTTGTAAGAAAAAAGGACATAAATGAAATTTATGTACCATATTGCATGACCGCGCAATTGTCCGTTAAACTAGCGCAGTGCTGTATAGCAAAAAAATGGCGGAAATTACAGTATCTATACCATAGTTTGTAGACGCTGTAACTTTCACACAAAGCAATCAATATACACTTATTGGGATTTTTTTTTTTTTTTTACCAAAAACATGTAACAGAATACAATTTGGCCTAAATGTATAACTAACTTTGAGTTTACTATATATTTTTTATAGCTGAAAGTAAATGTCGTTTTTCTTAAAAATTTTTGGGCTTTTTTGTTTATAGCGTGAAAAATAAAGTGCACAGGTGATCAAATACCACCGAAGGAAAGCTCTATTTTGTGTGAAAAAAGGACGTAAATTTTGTTTGGGTGCAGCATTGCATGACCGCACAATTATCAGTTGAATTAGTGCAGCGCCGAGTAGCAAAAAGAGGCCTTGTCATTAAGGGGGGTAAATCCTCAGGAGGGCAAGTGGTTAAACTTGGAAATAGTGCTAGGGTGCAGACATTTTATACTCTTCAAAGGCTAAAGCTGGCCATACATTGAAACTTGGCCAGTTCAGCAGGAACTGGCAGATTTTCAACCAATCTATGGCTGTTCATGGGAAGTCTATAATTGATCACCCATCTTGTGAATGGACCTGCTGGGAAAATTTTCACTCAGTGAGCACATGCAGCTAGTGGGCAGAGCTGCATGCAGAAGGTTTTTATCTTACTGCATACAAAGCGTTTACAAGGCTTCATTCACATGACTGCATGGGTTTGGTTAGTTTTCTCTATTGGTAAAAACCTCACACTGTAGCCACTAGCAATCTGTTCTCCTGGCACTGGCAGCTCCCTGCACCCCCCCCTGCTGGGAGACACAATAGTTTCACAGGAGGGGTTCCTCAGACACTGGACTGCAGGAAGAAAAATGACATAGTCTCTGTACTGCCTGAGGAGTAGTCAAACTAGAAAAGTGATTAAAGTGGTCTGCTACAAACCATTTTCTGTTGGAAACTGTTGCCATGGTTTCCTTTTTTTTGTTTTAAACAAAAAAAGAAAAACAAGTCTCGTTAGCTATCTTGCAGTACTAAAGTGAGGATGCCTGTTTTTGTGGGAGATTTTGGTAAAAGTACTTTATGTATGCTGTGCTTTGCTACTGTTGCTTAATCAGCCCATACACCCATGTTGTAAGCGGTCTGCTGTGTTTTGACTTGGGTTTATTTACCTGTGAAAAAAAAAAAAAAAAAATATATATATATATATATATATATATATATATATATATATATATATATATATATATATATATATATAAATTTTCTTCCTAGCCTTTTAAGCTATTCTCTTGCATCTTAGGCCAACATGGCTTATTCTAGCATTTTTCATCTTTGCAGGTGATATTCATGGACAATATTATGATCTGCTACGTCTCTTTGAATATGGTGGATTTCCCCCAGAAAGCAACTACTTGTTTCTCGGAGATTATGTGGATCGAGGGAAACAGTCCTTGGAAACTATTTGTCTACTTCTGGCATACAAAATAAAATATCCAGAGAATTTCTTTCTTCTTCGAGGAAATCATGAGTGTGCTAGCATTAACAGAATCTATGGCTTTTATGATGAATGTAAGTACATTTTATCCTTAGTTACTATATCCTTTATGCTTATTTGCTTACCTGTTGATCCTGCCAAACCCGGGCATTTGTTTTCTGCAATACTTGCAGCTCCTCTCCCCTTCTTCTTGTGAAGTAATGTGCAGGCTGCTAGGAATCTAGTCTGGAATTGGAGGGAGGAGTGTAACATAAACACTCTACCCCCCATTTCCCGCTTTTACTTTTGATAGGCGTAAAGTGGGGCGTAAAGTGGCCACTAAGGCTGGGGTGGGTGTATCTGCCAATATATTTGCTGAATTTCTTAGATATCTTGTATAGGGCTGTCATGCAGTAAAGCTGTAACTCTTCTATGAATTTCTGTAATTGTATCCCAAAGGATAAGTTCAGCTTTCATAAAATTGTCACCTTTTTACTAAATAAGCCATTCACAATGGTAGGGGGATATTCTTCCTGCACCTGCTGTCACAATTAAAAATGTAGCTGTGCTGGGCTCTGCCTACCCAGCCATGTCATTCATTCAGAGAGCTGTTAATGAGAACTACTGTTGGCCATTGCGGCTGATGGCTTGTAGTTTTCAGTGCACTACAAGGCCTGGATGAGCGCTCCTAGGTAGTTCATTGATACCATACTGGGTACAGATACAGTGTAGCTCTGCTGAGCCTGAGTTTGCACCTGTGATCTGAGTGCAGTCACAATGTTTTACAGGCTCCCCAAGAACTAAATCCACTGCAGGCCCCTGAGACAACTGCCATGTTGTGCAGATATGCACAGCATGGTTCTTTATGGTAGACTTTGTTATATGGTGTGCTCTTTTCCAAGTGACGGGTCTCTGCAACTGTGATGTGTCCTAGGAGGTTGTGAGCAGGGAGGGGGGAACTTGCCTTGGGATTGTCTAGCAGATTCCAGTGGGAGTGGGTACCTGCTCCCCAAAAAAGAGGAGCAACGGAACTTCCTTTTTATGTTCTACTCACAATATGTAATTTTTCAGATAGTTTGTACAAAATAAAGTGGAGCCATGTAGTTCTCTGAACTGCGCAACACACTCCCCCAGTTGGGAGTGGGCAGCTGTGGGACCGGTAAAGCACTGAGCACTCTTTGCCTTAGTGTAACTGGAGCCTTAAGGTGAAGTGATATTTATTCAGAAAACGGGTCAATTTTAAAGACCAGCAGGTAGTTTTTAACTTGTCAAGAGGAATGTGCTTCATTTGATATCCATAAAAACAAAACTTAAACTTTTGGCAAACTGGTTACTTGACATCAGATTTGTGCAAAGCTGCTTTTGTGTGGCCTGTGGTTTGTTTGACAGAACAGATGTAATCAGACTAAATATATATTTAAGGTGTCGTGTCTGTTTTGCAGGCATTTTTGTGTTTTGTTTTCCCTCTAAACACCACTCCATGTTAGCCTATGTGGTGGAGGCAGAAAACCTCATGTGTGCGTTCAAGAGGTGCATTTGAAATGGAAAACATGGAGTCATTTCATTGGCAAGAATATTCTTGCCATTTTTTTAAACAAATGCCCAAGCTCTTGACACGCCTAAAGAGCATTTGCAAAAACATGGTAGGTGTGTTTTTTTTTTTTTTTTTTTTTTTTTTTTTTTTTTTTTAAAACCCCTAGAACATTGGGGCTCTTCTAAAGTAACATCTTGGTACAGGGGCAGAGTACCTTGAATGTGGAATCGCTGGGAAGTCTTGGAATTGTTTGCTGCTCTTGGCAACAGATTAAAAATGTTTTTTTTGTTTTACAGGTAAAAGAAGGTATAACATTAAATTGTGGAAAACCTTTACAGACTGCTTCAATTGCTTGCCAATAGCTGCCATAGTAGATGAGAAGATTTTTTGCTGTCATGGAGGTAAATTAAATAAGGGTCTAATTGGTGGTCTGTAATTCGTACCAAAGCTCTTAGAAGAATTTTTTTTTTTTCCTTTACTGCAGTTGGCATAAATCTGGCCTTTCTCAAACAGGGTGCCTTGAGGTTTCTACAGGGGTGGCTTGGGCAAAGTGTCTAGAAATTGGCCAAAACTTGTATACAAACCAGCGGGTGGTATACAAACCAGCGGGTGGAACAAGCCTGATTTTTTAGTTACACAAAGCCACAGTTTTTTGTTGTGCACCATTATGGCCTTCTAGCTGCTGGTGTCCTAACAACCAATGACATCAGTTGATGAGAATGTGTCAGCTGCCTGCACGGTATCCTAGTTTGACCCTCCCCCTGCCCCTCTCCATCAGTGTTGGGGTCACATTCGCTCACTGAGGGAGAAGAGAAACGCTGGAATACTACTCGGTACCAGTGTGCAAAAGTGTACTTGCTTTGGAAGAATAAATCCCCTTTTAACATTTGGGTGTCTCACGTGTGGATGTTGCTGTTATATAAAGCTATTAGAATAGTTTAACAGTTTTTAGAATGGGGTGCCTTGAGACTGTCCATAATTTTTAAGGGTGCTTTGACTGAAAAAAGGTTGAGAAACACTGGTCCTAATGTACCCAGTAAATGCCACATTCATCGCCTGTAGAACACTGAAGTATTGCAGAGATCTGTCCAGCCCTCATATTTTTGCAAGCATTCCTCATTTACTAGAGAGCTGCCTTATCTACAGGATATAGCCCCACAAATGCATATCATTGCCACTGACAGGACATTAACAGTAAACTTCTAAAGCACAAGGCAAATATTACTGAGAAACCACAAATATCTATACCAGTCTTGACAGTGACCCTTTTTTTTTTTTTTCTCTCTCTCTAGCGCTTCAGGTTAACTATCAGACTTTTGCCAACAATTGTGTGAATGTTGACTGTTGTGCTGGATTAGAGTTTTTATATGTATATTTGGGGGGTAGGGAGACTAACGTATGTGTTTGTATACTGTAGGTTTATCACCTGACCTTCAATCAATGGAACAAATCAGGAGAATCATGCGTCCTACTGATGTTCCAGACCAGGGTCTTCTCTGTGACTTGCTTTGGTCTGACCCTGACAAAGATGTGTTAGGCTGGGGTGAAAATGACCGAGGTGTATCGTTTACTTTTGGGGGGCAGAAGTTGTGGCAAAGTTCCTTCACAAACATGATCTGGATCTCATTTGTCGAGCTCATCAGGTACAACCTTTATTTCTGTGTATTCAGATCAGAGAATGTAAGGCTAAATGTTAAAGGTTTCAAGTTTAACAAAAAAGCAGTTTATAGTTGCAATTGCAAGGGATTTTTGGGGGTGGTCTTCCTATATATATTTTTTTTTTTTTTCCCCTGGTGGGTTACTCTGGGATGGCGGGTCAGCAAGCCCAGATCGCAAACTGTGCAATGCAGAGGGACTTATGGTTCATAATGCTCACATTGGTGCTGGGCTACAGGCACCATACAATCTGTACAGCCAATATGGAGACATGTCTCTGTAAGGTTCGCTGGCGTGCATTCCATGCCTAGTGTTAGCTAGCCGGACGTGACATCATGTAGAACCCAGAAGTGACGGGATTACGTGTCTACGTATGGTTTCACCTGGCGGCGTCTTCAGGAGGTGAAGGCACCATACAATGTGTGTGGGGGGGGGGTTCGATTTTTAAGAAGCTAAACTGAAAGAACCAAAGTATCCCTTCAATTGTGTTACTAAACAAGGTTGCAATGATTGACCACTACAAATGGGTTTGCCTAACCCCCCCCCCTTCCCCCAACAATATTGTCTGATCAGTTATGCTTTAGGGTTAACAGATTCAGATCTGTTTGCTGAATTTTTCTTCACATGGATCATTTTGTAAATTTGTAAAAAAAAAAAATTTTTTTTTTATAGCTTTTTTTTTTGTTTTTGCAGGTGGTTGAAGATGGATATGAATTTTTTGCCAAGCGGCAGTTGGTAACACTTTTCTCAGCCCCAAACTACTGTGGAGAGTTTGACAATGCAGGAGCAATGATGAGTGTAGATGAAACATTAATGTGCTCTTTCCAGGTATGTTTTAAACAATTTCCTGCCAAAACCTTCTTTTTGGGGTGCACACAATGGCTCCCTCATTTGTAAGAGGCATCTTCTATGGAGTGTTGGTTGTGCTTGGAGGGGGTCATGAGAGTTTATATAGGGAAATAAGGGGGTGTTGCAGCTGACATGAATATTTTGAAATGTTTTTTACATCCATCAGTTTCACTACACAGGCATTCAGCTCTGTAGCATGAACTGAAAATGCAAAAGTTATACTTTTAATCTTTCTTATGCTTGGGATGGCATCCCTATTTTCCTATAAAAAGCCCTGCCTACAAAAATGAGTTTAGAAGCATCCAGTGGGATAGAAATCTGATGCCTAGTGATACACTGCATGCCATGGTTCTTCCAGCAGGCCTTATGGCTCTTATAGCGATCTAAGAGCTGGCAGATAGAACCATAGGATGATCAGGAACCTGAAACTGCAAAAAACACCACACTGAAGTTCTGCATCCTGGTGGTTTCGTTTTATATATATTAATGTTGCTTCTTAACACGTGCAAATTTAACCACTTCATGTCTGGGGCAGTTGTATGAACATCAGCAAATATAATCAGCCCTGGAGAATAACAATTTTGGCTGTTGCAATTTTTGTAACTTTTCCAGAAAACACTTGTAGACTAAGTCATTGTTGCTTCAGTGCTCCTTCATCAGATTGGGTTATGTTCTGTGGGAAGCTGACAAATGGCTTTTCATCTGTTTTTTTTAGAATGCTGTGAAGGCTGCAGATAAACAGAACCAACCTATGTAGGGCTATTTGTTTTGTGATCACCTGAGGATTGTCACTTCAATGGGTATATGTACAGTAGATGTAAAAAGTCTACACACCCCTTTTTAAAATGTTATGTTTCCATAAAGAGAAATTATTTCAGATTTTTCCACCTCTTAATGTAACCCATAAACTGTACAACTCTGTTGAACAAACTGAAATATTTTAGGTGGAGGGAAGTAAAAAATATATATGCAACCATATTTTAGTTTAAGTGTGTGCACCGTTAAACTAATATACTTTTTTTTTTTTTAGCACCTTTTTTATTATATTTTATTACAGCATTCAGTCTTTTTGGGTATGAGTCTTATCAGCATGGCATATCGTGACTTGGGAATATTTGCAAAAAACACTCCATATCTGTCATTGCAAGGAAATCTCCTGTGCACAGCCCTCTTCGGATCACCCCTCAGATTTTTGATCGGATTTAGGTCTGGACTCAGGCTGGGCCATTCCAAAACTGATCTTCTGATGAAGCCATACCTTCATCTTTCAGCGTGACAACCATCCAAAGCATATATCTATCCAGATTAAGTTCCTCTTCATGTTCAGCTTTCTAGCAAAAGCCTGAAGGTTTTGTGCCAATATTGACTATTTGGAACTGTTCATAATTCCCTCTACCTTGACTAAGTTCCAACTGAAGAAAAACAGCCCCAAAGCACGATGCTGCCAGTACCATGCTTCACTGTGGGTATGGTGTTCTTTTGGTGATGTGCAGTGTTTGTCTTTTTGCGCCAAACATATCTTTTGGAATTATAGCCAAAAAGTTCAACCTTTTGGTTTCATCCGACCATAACACATTTTCCCACATGCTTTTGGATGCTTTTCTTTAAAAAAAAGGCTTCAGTCTTGCCACTCTACCCCATAGCCCAGACATACGAAGAATATGAGAAATTGTCACAGGTACCACACACAGTACTTGCCAGATATTCTTGTAGCTCCTTTAATGTTGCTGTAGGCCTCTTGGCAGCCTCCCAGACCAGTTTTCTTGTCATCAATTTTGGAGGGACGTCCAGTTCTTGGTAATGTCACTGTTGCGCCATATTTTCTCCACTTGATGATGACTGTCTACACTGTTTTCCATGGTATATCTAATGCCTTGGAAATTCTTTTGTTCCCTTCTCCTGACTGATACCTTTTTAACAATGAGATCCCTCTGATGCTTTGGAAGCTTTCTGCGAACCATGGCTTTTGCTGTAGGATGCAACTAAGAAAATGTCAGGGAAGACCTACTAGAACAGCTGAACTTTATTTTGGATTAATCAGAGGCACTTTAAATGATGGCAGGTGTGTACTGACTCCTATTTAACATGATTGCTTAATTCTGAACATGGCTATATCCCCAGTTATAAGAGGGTGTGCACACTTGTGCAACCACATTATTTTAGTTTTTTGTTTGCTCCCCCCCTCCCCCCTCTAAAATTTTGTTTTTCAATTGTACAGTTTATAGGTCACATTAAAGGTGGAAAAGTTCTGAATTTTTTTTTCCATCACAGAAACCTGATATTTTAACAGGGGTGTGTAGACTTTTTATGTCCACTGTAAGGGTTTACAACATCTTTAGTATAGGCTCACTAAAATATGTTCCTTCTGCCTCACAATTTGCATGTGCCTGCTGCTTTTGTGTAATCTTGTGATCTAATGAATACTTTCCCATCAGTTTTGTGCCTTGATTTTGGAAACTCATTGAAAAATGGTAGTCTTTGCAAAAATATATGCATTTTATAGCTCCAGTTTATTTCAGTTCCCATTTTTTATGTTCAGTGGTTAAATGTTGCTTTTGTCTTTTTTTTTTTTTTTTCTCAGATTTTAAAACCTGCAGAGAAAAAGAAGCCCAATGCAAGCCGACCAGTAACGCCACCACGAGGCATGATCACAAAACAGGCGAAAAAATGAGGGTCTCTGGGCCTGCTTGGACTTGTATTATAGTATATAATCACTTTTTTATTTTAAATTGTGTAACTTGTACTGGTCTGTTCATCCATTTAGATGTTGGTGGCTCATTTTTTTTAAATTTTTGCTTTTTCTTTTAAAGAAATGTATTTGCTACAACGCTTACTATTTTCTGTTCTTTCCTTTTCAATCTGAAATTCAAACTTCTTCTGTTGCTTCAATATGGTTTCCTTTTTTATGCCTGTTACTGTACACTCCGATCTTTATCTTCATTATTCATGTAGCTTTGTACAATTCACATTATTTGTAAATGCTTGTTTACTACTTTAGTACTTAAAGATGGCACTCACGGGCTGGTCAGACTAGGAATGTCACAGCTATAATTTGCATCCTGTTTATACAAACCACTGTGAACTTTTTGTTATGTTTTTTTTTGTTTTTTTTTTTAAAGGGATTTTCTTTTACCATCAGGTCCACACATGTATAGCCATTATCAATACTTAGAAAGATCCCCCTTGACTTTACCAGCATCACTGGTTTGATGTACATTTTAAGTAAAGCATATTTTTTTTCTGTACTGTATTCTTTAACTGAAATTAAAGCCATTATTTTAACTGTTGTGTTCCATTTCCTGAAACTTGCATCTGTATCGGTGTATTGCTCATGTCTTCCACAGCAATGAAGTTGGATTTGCGTCTGTAGTATTTGCATGGTAATAAAGGAAGAATGCTTATCTAGACATACCAATGCACTTCCTTATGGCATTACATACTTATATTTTTGTCCTGAGAGGCATAATTACCACTAACGAGATACCAGATCTGGGACATGCCAAAGTTGTCACTTTAAATGTTTACCAGCCTTTTTTATTTCCTAATAAAGAAACTTGTTTGAGCCATATGTACAGTATATTTATTTTTCTTGTTACTGGATGCAAGTCTGTTTGTCAGTTGTCATCCAAGGTATGGGAAAGTGTGCCTGAATATTAACTAGAAGGGCAGATTGTTATGACCAGCTTTGTGTCTCAGAATTTTGCAACATATGTACCGTATTTGCCGGCGTATAAGACGACTGGGCGTATAAGACGACCCCCCTACTTTTCCTGCTAAAATGTAGTGTTTGGGCTATACTCGCCGTATAAGACTACCCCTCTTCCAGTGCACACCAGTGGGAGGAATAGTGCCCCATCATCGGTATCAGTGGGGGGAATAGTGCCCCATCATTAGTATCAGTGGGGGGAATAGTGCCCCATCATTAGTATCAGTGGGGGGAATGGTGCCCCATCATCGGTATCAGTGGGGGGAATAGTGCCCCATCATTAGTATCAGTGGGGGGAATGGTGCCCCATCATTGGTGTCAGTAGGAGGAATGGTGTCCCAACATTGGTGTCAGTGGGAGGAAATGGTGTCCCATCATTGGTGTCAGTGGGGGGTGGAATAGTGCCCCATCGTTGGTGTCAGTGGGGGGTGGAATAGTGCCCCATCGTTGGTGTCAGTGGGGGGTGGAATAGTGCCCCATCATTGGTGTCAGTGGGGGTGGAATAGTGCCCCATCATTGGTGTCAGTGGGGGGTGGAATAGTGCCCCATCGTTGGTGTCAGTGGGGGGGGGGGAATAGTGCCCCATCGTTGGTGTCAGTGGGGGGGGGGGGAATAGTGCCCCATCGTTGGTGTCAGTGGGGGGGGGGGGGAATAGTGCCCCATCGTTGGTGTCAGTGGGGGGGGGGGGAATAGTGCCCCATCGTTGGTGTCAGTGGGGGGGAGGAATAGTGCCCCATCGTTGGTGTCAGTGGGAGGAATAGTGCCCCATCATAGGTATCAGCGGGGAGGAATAGTGCCCCATCATTGGTATCAGTGACACCAATGATGGGGCACTATTCCTCCCACTGACACTTGCTGACCCTGTTCTCGTATGGTGCTGCTGCAGCCAGCATATGTGGTTGCAGCAGCACCTCTACACTGACCACTTACCTGCTGGTCCTGCACTCGATTTTCGCGCGGCCCGCTCGGCTCCACCCTCTCGCCGGTGATTGGCCGCCTGTGTGCCTTTCCTGAGCTACAGTTCTGGCGGCCAATCGCTGGTGAGGAGGCGGAGCCGAGCAGCCGCGCGAACTCCAGTGGCCGAACTGAAGGCGCAGTCGCGCTTCCTGGACCGGATCGTCGTGGGACCGGAACCAGGTAAGAAATAGCCCCTGTACTTAGTGTCCCTTCCGTTAGGGGAAGGGGGGGGGCGGCGGCGGCACCGCGCCGCCCCCCTAAAAAGTGTCATGTCATGTTATACCGGCGTATAAGACTACCCCCGACTTTTGAGAAGATTTTTAAGGGGTAAAAAGTCGTCTTATACGCCGGCAAATACGGTATTTACTTGGTTGTACCTACTGTTTGGATAACTTGATGCTTTGATGTAGCAAGTGCCAATTGTAATACTGGGTTTAAAACCTTCCAGGTTGGAGAGATGAATGCCAGTTTTTATGGTTTGGCTATTCCTTTGGCATTTTACAGTGCTTTATTAAACACTTAGTGTTACTAAACCCAGGACCCTGCATTCACTATATCTGGTTTCCCACAGAACATGGAAGTGCAATTATATTAGTAAATATAAACTGCTAAATACATTCTCATCGGCGTCTAGAGCAGTCTTGTGACTATCAGTGTCCTGCAGAGCACATATTAAAGCTTGTAGGAGGATGCAGAACCCCTGACTTCTGTCTTGAAAGTGATGATTGGACTGTTGATCACGTGCGCACTCCCAAGAAGAGATCTCTAGCAATACACACCAAACTGAGCATGTGCAGACTGACTCCCCACGGTATGCCTTATCAGAAGTTAAAAGGGGATGCTGGAAGAAGGGGAAGATCAGCAGAAGTCAGTATCAAACAACCTTTTTACACAATGCAGCGGAGGTTCCACAGTGAGTATAACCATCAAGCTTTATTGCACATACAGACTGCATTTACTGTTGTGGGTTTAGTAACACTTAGCATTTTTTTTCTTTTTTTAAGAATAGCCACATACAAATCAAATTTATAGTTCAAACTGCAGTGATGGCTGAATGTACTCACTAGTGATGGACTACTTTTTTTTTTTTTTTTTTCCCCTCTCCTGTAGCCAGCAAAGACTCTTCTAAAACTGCATTTTGTTTCAGACGTGTCCATACAGTTGATGGGCAGGGGTGGACTGACAACTCATGGGGCCCCCGGGCAATATGGGATCATGGGGCTCCTATGTCCTTGCTCAAACTCAAAAAAGCCTATGAAAAAGGTACCAGGGGCATCTCATGGGGCCCCCTACTGACCCCGAGTTTCCAAATGGTCAGTCCGCCCCTGTTTATGGGTATCCCTAAAAGGTCTGATTAATTCTAGACTGTTGCATCAGTCTGTAGGGGCTGGTATGGGTTCATAAATTGTGAATGTCTGTGGGTGGCACATGATTTTACACGTATAATATCCCTTTTTGAATAACTACCCATTCCAAGATCTGCATAAAAAGGCTTTGACTTGCATGTGTTCTTACCAGTTATTTAATTGTGATAATCAAAGTTGCAATCTTTGAGATTTTCCCCCCCCCCCCCCCCCCCCCCCCCCCCCCCCCCCCGGTAAATAGTAGTAACCTGAAATGGTGCAATGGAAAGCTGTCAATCACCAGGGTGAAACTAAATTTTTATGGATGTTAGAGCTTCTTGATTGTACAGAAAACAGGCATTAAATAATTGGCTGCCTTCTGGTGACCTGCACTTGCAAAAAAGGCTTCAGAGCTACCCCTCACACTCCCCTCTAGTCTTGGGTTTTTGCTACTGTCCTTCGGTGATGGAACACTCTCACTGGATATCTTTTTCTTCAAACATGATTTCCTTCATTAGTCCATTGCAGCTTTTTATATGCAGCTTTCAGGTTGGTGGACTTCTCAGCAGTGCCTTGGAGAACTGCACTTGGACTTTCAGGTGGAAGATGGAGTTTCGGCATACAATGTTGCTTTTCACTGGATCCTACTGTGGGCCCTTCTAGCACGTGGTATTGGCTGCAAAATTCTTTGTAAGTACTGAGCTGTGTTCTGTTGGTGCAGAGCCCAGTCTGAGGACCCCTGCAGGAGTATGGCCACCATAGAGGGTGAAGTCAGGGTGGGGTTAAATGCCCCCCCCCCCTTCCTGCTAGTCAAATGGTGAGTACACAGCAGAAGCACTTAGATTTATTCAGGAATCTTTTCATTGTTAATCTTTTGTTAATGTTTTTTTGTTTTAGGATTGTGCAATTGTTATGACCTACAGTTGAATATGAATCCCATAAGAAATGTTTTGCCTGCTAAATCATCTTTTTTTTAAATATGGTACATACTGTATTATCATTTCTCCAAGGGTATGCAAACCTTTGAGCACAACTGTAGATATAACTTATTTTTTGTGAAGAAAAAAAAAAATGGGACAGACCACAATTACAGATGTCATTATCTTGCGTAACATAAAACTTATTTAATATCATATATGGACGTAATTTACTTAGTCTTAAATTTAGCATGACATGGTCTACAACATACAAGCTTAACAATTCCAGTTGCTGTAAATACATACTGTAGAGTAGTGTAGTCCCTTAGCTAGGTTAAAAAAAAAAAAAAAAAAAAAACATAATTGGATTCCTGTTCGTGAACTGTTACCCTAAGGCCTTATACACACTAGACCTTCACCTACAGCTGGATGACCCAGGATCACTGTCCAGCACTGCAGCCTGTCAAACTGACAGCTGCTGTAGCTTGACTGGATGGTGCACCTAGCGGTATGTATGATTTAGGGCTGTATGCGTCTAGCAATGAATGCCCAGAATGCAAGCAGTCTGTTCCAGGCCCTAAACAGAAGTACCGCTGAGTGCCCAGCCCCATACAGCCACACCAGCTGTCAGACTTGAATACAGTTTGACAGGCTTTTGGCAGTGGGGCTGGACTTTGAGCCTCTGCCCTCCAACTGCAGCTCAGCATCAGTCTCATGTACTGGGCTGAATGCCCAGTGTGCATATGAA